CCGACATCTTGTGTTCCCCGCTAACTGACATTTTCAACGAATCTTTTTCCAAAAGTATTATACCTGAATCATGGAAAAACATCAAGATCGTTCCAGTGCCTAAATCTACAAGTGGACCTAATGTTAAGTTTAGACCCATTTCAATTACCTCACCCTTTTTGAAAGTTATGGAAAGACTTATTTTACTTAATCTTGATCCCTCTTTAAAACCTTTCAACGACCCCAACCAGTTTGCTTATAAACATAGTAGGAGTACGTTAGATGCCGCTGTCGTCCTCCACCATAGCATAGTCTCTAGTTTAGATAAAGGAGCTAAATACGTTCGCTGTGCCTTCCTTGATTACACATCTGCATTTGACTCTGTTCCCAGGTCTCTCTTGCTAAGTAAGCTTGCTGCAACACAGGCTGAAAGCTGGACAAATAAGTGGTTGCATTCCTATTTTTCTGAAAGGAAGCAGTACACCGTCTACAATGGAAAATCCTCCACTACCTCACTTACTTTAGCTGGTGTTCCTCAAGGTGCTGTTCTTTCTCCCTTTCTGTTCTCGTTTTTCTTACATGACTTGCCTCATTTTGATGTAGCCACTTTTGTTAAGTATGCCGATGACCTCTCGGTTTCTATGCCTGTCAACTCTCAGTCAGATTGTTCCAAATTAAATAGCTTTCTGTCGGAAATTAGTCAGTGGTCCTCTTCAAACGGACTTAAGCTTAATCCGTCTAAATGTCAGGTAGTCAATTTCACTTTCAGACGTAAATGTGACCTACAGCAACTAGTTAGCTCACATGGCCCCACTCTCATTGACGACACAGAGGTTGAAAATACATCTTATGTTAAGTACCTTGGGCTGAGTTTTTCCACCGATCTTTCCTGGTCTTCCCACATCTTGCTAGTTACTAGAAAGATGTTTCGCTTAACGTTCTACATTAGGAAATTTAGGCAGTCTGGCATAAACCAGTCTTTACTTTCTCAGTTTGTAAATTCTTGTATTCTACCCATCCTCCTTTACTGCTCCCCATTAGTCTTTCCTGGACTACTTAAGAAAGACTTTGCTTCGCTGAGAAGGGCACTAAAAGCTGTTAGTAGGGCAAGTGGGATATCGTTAAACCAACTGGTGAACACTATTGTAGATAGACATATATAATGTCATGTAAGAAACTAGCGAATACAATATTGTCGGACCCCGAGCATCCTCTCTATACGCATCTATCTCCTTGCATTTCATCTGGAAGAACTAGAAGCAGCTATGGGAGGCTATATGCTAGGACTACCAAATACAAAAACTCCACAATACCATATCTGGCACAGCTGTTATGTGATGAGAAATCCGTTAGGTATGACACGATAAACTTACTGCGGCACTCTAACAAATAGTCCCATTAGTTTTTGTTTTCCTTTCCTCGTTACTATCACACTGTTGTTCTCATCTAGTACCACACATCAACTTTATATTTCAAATCCTGTGTTGCATTGTTTGAAATGAAATACTCTACGTTGTTTTTTTTTCTTAATTTTAATATTTATTTATTTTATTTATTTATAACTAATTTATTTTTATTTATTTATCTTTGATTTTTAAAAATCTTATATAATTTATGAGGTAATTAGATGCAATATACTGTAATGCACGCTGAAAATTCCATACCTGTACCACAAATACTGTTTGGAATAAAGCTGTTATTATTATTATTATTATTATTATTATTATTATTATTAGAAACAAAAAATTACACAGGATTAGAATATAATTGTAGAATGGTTATTTTAAACGGATTACAAGTGTGATCAGGAGGAGTATGGAAACAAAATTAAAATAACTGTTTTTATAGCTGAAAAAAAAAAATTAGGTGGATTAAACGAAGATTGAGGGACTAAGAATCAGACACACAGCGAACGAAAAATGCTCTAAAGGAAAAAACAAGAACGAAAACAGACGAGGAAGAGAAAAAAAAAGACGGAAACAAAGGGAACATACCAAGCTAGGTCCATGGTAGTTGTAGAGGTTGGACTAACTTCTTTTGAACACACAGCTCCAGCTTCTCGATGCATATTGTGAGGGCTTCTGCAGTACAAAGAAGTCGGAAACATATTGCTTTTGGTAGGTTTCTGTTGACTTTGTAAATCACTTTGAAAGAATCGGTTGAGATTTTGTGGGAGGTGTTGACCAGATGTTAAATAATGGCACTTCTAATTGAACCGCTGCCTCCTCTTTGCAGCCACGCTGGGTAGTGTTCTCTAACACGTTTTGAGAGGACGCGCATACAACGACCTATGTACCTAGCTCCGCACGAGCAAGTGAACTGGTATATGCACATTGAATTGGTCATATGCGAAAGTTTGTCCTTCGTGTTGTTTCGAAGTATTGGGCGGCTAGAGAATGTCACTCTTAGTGTTGCTGCAGGGAAGGTCTTCTTTAGAGAGCTGGATATTCTCCTCTTCAGGATATCAGCTGCCAAATCTCCCTTGAAATTCAGATTTAGATACAGCGTTTTCTTTGGCGCTGAATCGCATTCTTCTCTTTTAGGTTTAGGTTTCATGTTCTTTTCGACAAAACGTGTCGGGTAGCCATTTTGAGCCAGGATATTTTTGAGGAATAGGGGCTCCTCTTCCATGCAATCGTTGCTGCAGATTTTTCTAACGCGATGGGTTAGTGCGCTGATGAGGGCTCGTTTTCGGCTTAGAGGTATCCAACTATAGAAATGCGTTAGTTGGTCATTCCATGTCGGTTTTCTGTGGATGGACCTCTTCAGGGTTCCATCATCTCTTCTTGTCAATTCCACGTCCAGAAATGGAATCTTTGAATCGCTTTCTAACTCCATTGTGAATTTAATCGAAGGATGGGAATTATTGAATTCTTGTAAGATGCAGTTGGAGTCCGAGTTCTCGTAGCAGACTATAAAGGTATCGTCAACGTACCTTTTGTATAGTATTAATTTGTTTATTGTTGATTTTAAAACTCCACTCTCCAAACTGGCCAATTGAGAATTGATTGAGAATTGTTCTAATCAAAGGTTGGTATCATTGTGCGGCTAGTTTCTGGAAGAAAATTTCCCTTGACAATTCCAGATTATATTGTTAATTCAATAAATAGCAGATTTCTTCACGCTACCATCTCCTCTAGTTTCCATCTAGTTTGTGAACATATTTCTCCATGAAACTATAGGGATAACCCATCTCTATCCAAAAATTAGGGATACATCCAAGCTTCCTTTTTCAAAGATCTTCCACACATATCTTTATTTTTGTGTTTGTAAGATATTTAACATAATAATTTGTTTATCACAGTAAAGAATCAGTATTATTTATTGGATGACGTTTCGAACACAGATTATCGCTCATAATTATTTCAATTATAATCACACAACTTCGAAAATTTTGTTCTATAGTTTTCCTTGTTCTCTCCTATTTGCGTAATGGGAGTAGAATTTTCCAGATATCTTGGTGAACAGACGTTGAATCATTCCTATTACACTTGTTTACTGTTGGTAAGATAAATGAAGATTCTGTTATTAATCTCTGCCTCCACACTTTGAGATAAGATCATGAAAATGTCATGTCATCTTATCCTAAACTACTGTATGGTTTGTTGTGTGTAATTGGATGTAATGAGTGCTATAGCTGAAATATTCTCTAAATTTCTTAACTTATTCGAAGTAGCAAATCTGCAGGTACATCCAGTTGACGAGTCCCAAATAGGACGAAATGCGCATCCTGGATTCCACTGCTAGCCACTATCCACCAATCGTATACAAATCAAATCCCCAGACATCGTCGAAGCATCTGCACAAGAAGCCGACATGTCAACCTGAGACCGAGCACTTCGGTCCAATCAATCGACGGGAAAATCAAAAAATTCAATTCAATAATTAATATGACCCGTTGCACAAGAGGTGGTTCTCGTGGCCCAAGTGGTCCAGTGGATAACGCTATGGCGTTTGAAACTATGGGCACTGGGTTCGAGCCTCGGTGGGAACATCATCACTCACTGAGAAATGCAGGTACATCCAGCTGACGAGTCCCAAATAGGACGAAATGCGCATCCTGGATTCCACTGCTAGCCACTATCCACCAATTGTATACTAATTAAATACCCAGACATCATCGAAGCATCTGCACAAGAAGCCGACATGTCAACCTGAGACCGAGCACTTCGGTCCAATCAATCGACGGGAAAATCAAAAAATTCAATTCAATAACTAATCTAGATTTAGCCAGGTTTATATTCTAGACTGCTAGTCTGACTGCAGTCAGACATATGTATTTCAACTGATGATCATTGCAGGATCATAGATAAATTTGAGTTGGTGCTTTTATTGGTACCAATGAAAACTATGATCGAAGACGTTGGTGTCTAATTCAGTTTAACAGTTTCAGTGTTAAATAAATTTTCACAGTAATAGGAAAACAGACTGTAAAATTTCCCACAAGCATAAGAGATCTGACCAATTCACATTACACTTCACTTGTAATTTTACGTCAAATTCAGGTGTGACTCAAACTAGTCTTCACCATAATGTCATCACTGATTCTGTCTGTGAATGAAGGTCTCCACTCAAAAGTTACACGTACACATCTACGTGTAACTCTGATCAAACTTCTAGTACATTGTGATCAACGGGTGGGGGTCAGTTGTTCACCTTTTGTTCTGATGATCGAACTATTGACACGTGATGCATTCGTGATGTGCAGATTATTAACATGTATTACTGTTTCTGTGTAAATCAAAATAAGTAACGCACGACCTCAATTCACATGAATTGACTCACTTGATGACCTGAAAACACTTCTAACTGCTTTGAAACACGAAAATCCGAGATTTTTCACACGACTGAGTCACTCATTTGATGATTGGGGGTTTTGTGTGTGTGAGTGTGAGTGTGTGTGTGAAACAGCATTATTCAACCTTTGATTTACACATATAAATACAAGTGCATGTCACACTTGTCTGACTACCGTGTATCACATTAACGAGTGTGAATTGGTTGAGAAAATGTCTCACAAGATGGTGCTATTCCCGTTCATTGTCGTGTCACTTATTTCGTCGAATGTTGAATCACAAGCAGCATGTGAGTTGAGGTGATGATTTTTCATCTATGACAATCGAATACTCACCACAACTGACTGGTCCATTCATCAAACTGGTTTACTCAAGCTTTATATATGCAGCATACTGAAAGTGTTCTGTGGACTCATTTTGAGTCTAACTCTTCACATCATTTGGCTAGTCAGTATGAATCGAGAATTCTGGTTTCTCCATTCGAATTCTCATTCACTGTTTCTCTGTGTGTGTGTGTGTTTGTGCGTGTTTTATCGAGTTTCAACTTCTCTGTTCAACGGATGACTGGCAAGTGTGTATGAGATACCCAGTGGAATACGGAACGGTGAGGGAGATGGTCTTTTGTCATCTGACTCTGCATAAAGTACTCTATGTACTCTTATTTCGGTATTGGGAAACAGGTAAGAAAGATGAAGTAGATTACATCACCCACCTTCTCATCACACAACGTTGCAATATTGAAGTCTTGGTGTTTTGATCATTGGATGTAGTGTTGTCAGTCTGTTACCATTATCCCCTGATTGAGTTTTTCAATGAATGTGAATTTCGTCGATCATTCGTGCAGATATATTCAGATACACAGGTGTATGAAATCTGATGTCATTGTCTTCGTTTGACAGGAGACTTCTCCAGAGGCTTTGATGTTTTGTAGTTCAGTGATTGATTTATTCGTATCCTTATTGTTATCCTATCACGAATTTCTTTCATGCTATTCGACCATGATGTTGAATTTGATATTCATGCTTTTCTCAGGCTCTGGAAATGGAGGAATTTCACCTGCTGTCGCCTCGTTTGTGAAACCACCATACCTAGGATCAGTTTGGTTCACTGGAAGGGGATATTGGATTCATGTCAATGGAAGTGTGTCGGGCTTCCAACCTAGAACACAACATGGAGTACACGTGCATCAATATGGTGGACTTGGGAATAATTGTAATGATGCAGGACCACACTGGAACCTATACAACAGGTAAGTTTCAACATGCATCATTTCACTCCTGATAAATACCGTTTATGCTAGTGTGTGTAGGAAATTCGATGCAGGCTTAGGATTACAGGAACTTCTGTCTGCCTTCATCTGACTACTTTTATACTCACAAGAGTTCACGTAACGATTGAATGTGTTGATCCAGATGCAGTCACATGTGCGCTGAAAACACATAAATTTTTACTGATCATTAGAAGCTACAATGAAATGTGAAGTTCAAAACGTGGAAGAGGTATTTTAGTGCAGATGAGTGATCGGCTTCTCGAGAAGGCGTTCCATCGTTGGTTGTATATCAAAGAGAATTCATAGTAACTTTTGCTATTATTTTACTTAGCATCAGAATTCCCATTCCTCCCCACCATATAAATATTACCATGTATTGATGTTTGTATTGCTTTATTTCAGAGATCATGGTGGACCAAATACCACAGTCCGTCATGAAGGGGATCTCGGTAACGGAGTGGTTGACGCTAGAGGGTACTTGCAAATCAATGTGACTGTGAGTGGAAGCCTTATATGTCGGTATGATGGCTTTCTTGGTCGCGCACTAGTTATACATCAAAATCAAGATGATTTGGGCACGAGGCCAACTCCGGAGAGTAGAACGACAGGGAGCTCTGGGCCGAGAGTCGCGTGTGCTACAATTGGCTACAGGGGTGTGTAACCAACCATGAAACCTCCAGTATCACCTTTAATATCGACGTGATGAATGACAGTGAAATCAACAATCACTGAAGTAGTTATGTCTTGAAGATATTCGATTTCTACTAATAAATGCTCACAAAATTTCTTTTTGATTTTGCAAATATATTTTGTTCTGCACCTCACTTCCTTCTGATATTTCTCACCGAACTGATACCGAGGATTGTATGGATTGTGGACGAAGCGTCATTCGTTTACTCATTCTCACCCTATGATAGCGATAATTTATGTCTTTGTTGTTTCCGTTATTTCGATCTCTCATGCCTTCTAATTAGCCTCAAAAGCTAGACATTTCGATGTTATCATCGCCAGTTCCATGTGGCCTCTCAGGTCTACAAATATTCTTGTGACTTCATCCATTCTGTCTGAGAATAGTGGGAACTTGTGTTTCTAGAAGGTTGCTTGTTTAAAGGGTACATGTGATGTGGCTGAATTATTAATAAATGGCAATAAAACCGTCTTGAAGATTATTCAGACGTTTGAGATTTTCTGTTTCTCCTCTTAGGGTGTGGACCAATGAATCCTCTTTCTTATAGTGTTAAAGACTGTTAATTATTGAGTTCTATCGATTGTGGTGTACTCTTTGTATACCAGGCGAGTAGCCATTGAATCAGTACCTACATGGTTGGGATAAATGAGGCATTTTAGACAAGCTTGGGAAAAAACGCAACCTGAGGAGTTTCGTCTTCTCCATTATCTCTCGAACCTAAAGCATGCATGTGTATCTGTTGTAGATGTGTAAAATGTTGTTCTGAGATTTAATCGTGAACATCTGAGACTTCGGTTTATTCTCAGCATGTTTCGGCGGTTTGAAACACTCGATGATACTTCGTTTGAATGTTTATGAGCAGGATATTCTGACAGACTGATTAGTCACTGGGAAGTACTCAACGTGGTATGTGTTTTCCATGATGCTCTTTACTAGTTGACTCCCTTGTTATATTTTGTGATGTTATCACCTGGTGAATTCACTATCTATTACAGTGGTGTATGCATTAGTGTGAGTGTGTTTTCGATGTCGTTGGGGGGTAATCTCGTCATGAGCTCTTTTAATTTAGTAGGCGAGTGTGTTGATATTCACGGATAGTACGGTGTATACGAATGCAAGATCTAACGCCCACAACTTCTATAGTATTCGTCCCACGTAGGCCGAAGGCAAAGCGAAACACCAGAATCGATCGTCCAAACTACGACGTATGTTTCTGGACCAAATCGTAGTGCGAGGCTGATTGCTTAACCTGCCAGGAATCGTGCTCGGACGAATGGATATTACCAGATGGTATGCCAAATGGCATGTAAGCTTGAACCTAAGCCTTACGCTTAACAACCAACTTAAACAGTGAGGGTCAACATCCGATGTCCAGTGATAAATGCTGTGGCTTATAATTTGGGGGAATTACCTACCGTAGCAGATACTTATTGGTGCTTATCCGATCTCGGTGAAACTGTATTAATCTATATTCCATGGCTGCTTACACCCAGTACTAAAGGATTGATGATGCCTTTTGCAACTGCAAATCACCTCTAAAATTCAAACGTGAATAACTCAATATATAACCAGAACTAAGTATCTGTAAGACTGGACAACTAAATGTATTTTAATTCAAGTGTTGGTTTGTAGGGGTTTGATTGACTAGTTACAGGATTTTACATGAGCTGACATTAGTTAGAGAACTACTGGAAAACCCGGGAGAACTGGACAGCTGTTTCTTCCTAGTTTGGGGCTCATCACAGTGCGCACCCACGGGGCTCGAACCTAGGACCTTCTGGTTGCAAGGCGAGCTCGTATACCTTTAAGGTCTCCCAATGGTTCTCTAACTAATGTCAGCTCGTGATAAATATATTTCAGTTCCGGGACCACTTGGTTTTGGTAGGCGATTCGAAGTTTATTGTTAATCACAAGAATAGTTTATAGTTGACATGATTTTCATCAACAGCTGACACCACAGCTACAAATGAATTTTATCCTCTTGTGTCTAATGACTATCCTATAAGGACTTTGTCATTAGTCATTCGGCCAATCAAGAGATAAAAGTTGAACATATCTGAAGTCAGCACGAACTGTCATCACAGGTATGTATGTACCTGTCAGAGGAAGTACTTTCGAAGAACGAAAATGACTGGCATCCTCCCGATTAATACGAAACGTGACCAAAGCATTCGACTCAGGGGTTCATAGTCCTTTGACATCTCCTTAGATTGGGACACATAGTGGATGTCAAGGCCGTCTTTACTATTGTCAATAGGCGAAGAAACCTAACTTCACTTCACTTCCCTGGATCAAGCTACTCCAACCCGACTTGTGTGTATAAACGGAGCCGTGACTAATCTCAGATTATTGCAGCAAGAATTATTCAACTTATTAAATAGTTGTGTAGTTTGTTTTATCACTGCTCTGTGCAACTTATTGCTCAATCACAGACCTCAACAAATTTATTTGGTTTCATCTCACGGTTAACTGCTTTCTTGTGTTGAATTGAGTAATTTTCCCTCTTTATGCTGCCCTGCAGATAGTTCTCAGTTGTAATCTATTTATCAAAACTTTCTCGGACCTTCATCCCAACGTATTTTAAATCCTATTTTTGTAAAATTACTATTGTGCTCTTCGGTTCCAAGTGGAAGAAATGGCTTCAGCAGCACATCTGTTCCACTTTGTCCTGTTTTTCTGCCGTCGTTTCTGACTGGCCCTATGATTGCCCACTGTTATGATGCTAGATATTTTGTAGCAAGGTCACTGCTTAACTGCTGACCAGTGCCCACTTAACCGGTAAGGCAGAACACGCGAGAATCAACGGTAAAACCAGGTTCATTTATTATGACAAAAGTGACTGTATTTATACAGAAAATAAGGTAGACTGGAAATCAACCAATCCGGTTGAGAGTTGGAATTGTGCAAACGTCCAATCAGAAAGCAGGATTAACTGCATGTCAACGACTTGTTAATAACGCTATAATAACTTGACTGAGACATGATAATGACCTGATAATTGCATGTGTTTTGCTTCTTCCTAACGCCCACACTCTGTCATCTCCTTTTCGCACGATCTTCTCCATGTCACTCACTCGAACGCCTCACTTTTCGTTTTCCATTCAGCTTCCACTCGACGGTTTGCCAGGTGTGCCATGTCCTCAGCTTTTTTATATTACTAGTCCCCTCTCTTATTAGTTTTATTGTTTATACATTTTGTTGCACTATTTGCCTGTTTTGTAAACCTATAGTCCTCATGGTGATTGTGAGCCCAGTAGAAGGGAAATCTACGCTCATTACTTCATTAATCCTGTGTGTATTTTCAGTCGTCTTTATGTGAAGAGAATTCTGAAAATAATGAAATGGACACATGCGATACTGTATACCTTGGTCTACTTGCTTCCAAGTAGGTGACTGGAAGAACAAACTGGAGGAAAGCTGGATTTTCGAGGACATCTTAAATTCATGTCACATAGCTTCGCCAGAATATTCCTTCGACACTGTTTATATGTTGAGGGTGAAGAGTACGAAAGGAGTTGCATTCTTCAGCTTCTGTGTGGCAAATGAACAAGTAATCAATTAGTAAAATTCACCTCATTTACACAGTCTCATTACTTAAACGGTTTATTTCATACATTTAGTTCCCTTGACAGATTTTGATAAAGAAACGAAGACGAAATTTGCAGTATAAAATGATACCATTCTATTTCACAGGTTCTCATCAGCTAACTGCAGACTACCCGAAAATACAATGGTTTTATAGTTGATAATAACATACTTTAAAGTTTGAGTGGTAGTAGAGAAGAGATACTATAAAATTGACGAATCCAAAATGAAAGCATTGCAATGCTTTTAGTTTAAGTTTTCATCATCAATTTATACACTTTTAAAGTTGAAAAGAGGGGGAGGGGTAAGACAGAAAACAGAAAAAAGTTGATTAACAGAACGGTGTTAGCTTGTAGGTTCACAAAGCAACTCAAAAAACAAAAGCGGTTACAGTCTATGAGATTAAGATTTGTTCAGTGAGTTGAGATCACTGAATTAGATCAGTTAATATAACTGTACAACACTGTATGATTTATCAAAATAAAATCTTATCCATAATGGAGTTGTACTCTACCACAGTGTACGAGTTTTATGCTTATATCTGAATTAGATGACTAACCAAAATCAGAATTCTGTTACCAAGGGAGTGAGAGGTTAATCGCAATCTCTTTCTGTATGCATAAGTCTGGTTTAAGTCGTTTGATTGCGATCGCTTCGGCAAATCGCAGTAAATTTGCTGTCTTTTGTCTATTTAATATTTTGAAGGACTTAGAAATCTCTACGAGATGTCCAGTATCAACAATGTGTCTGGTAATTGCACTCTGAGAGTATTTATTTGTCTACCATACAAAGGAGATGCAGTGTCACAAAAGATTGACAAAAGGCTAAAAGGTGCAATAAATAGAAGCTTCCTGGCAGTAAAACTCATAACAGTATACAGCACCATTCCTTCTATAACCCACTCAAAACTGGATAAATACCCTGCTGATGTCACCTC